AAAGCTGTGTACACAAGCGAAGCAAAACAAGGAATTCATTCCGTACTTCCCATGGGCAGGCAGATGTTCAGCCATCTCCAGGAAAGCAGGGCTCCATCATGGGTAATGGTTACTTGGGAGGACAAAATGCCGTAACTCCAAACGTCCCCCGCTTTCTCCTTCTTCCCTCAGCTTTATACATCCATATGTCATATGGTATGGAATATCCCTTGGGGTCAGCTGTCCTGGCTGTGTCTTCTCCCCATTCCTTGTGCCCCCCCAGCCTCCTCACTGGTGGGATGGGGTGAAAGGCAGAAAAGGCCTTGGCTCTGTGTGAACCCTGCTCAGCAATGACTAAAACATCTCTGTGTTATCAACACTGTTTTCGGCACAAATCTAAAACATAGCCCCATACCAGCTACTATGAAGAAAATTAACTCTATCCAGCCATAACCAGCACAGGGGTTTCCACAGACCTCTCTGAAAATCACCAGTTGGGTCTTGAACGCTGTTGGTAGAACCAGCCTGCCAGAGCCATGTCGGAGGAGCACTTCCCAACCTTTCTCCAGCCTGCAGCATGGAGCCTGACCCGCTTGCTTGTCTCGCCTACCTGCTGTTAATTTTTGGGATCAGCTCGTGTGTATCCAGGAGGACTTAGACTGTGGTCTGAAGATCTTTCTGTTTATAGTTTCTGGGTAGGTGCAGTGGAAGTCCTTCATGCCCTCTCATCACTCCTTAGGATAAAGGATAAGAGAGATTCTGCTCTGGATGCCTTTTTTTGCAGACATCGGTCATCTTTCTCTCCCTCGCTTTAGTTTTGTACTCCTGGCCATATGTGTTCTCAGCGGTGGCTGAGGAATGGTGCCCCAACCAGGCGATCTGGAGCTGGCAGACTCTGCGCTTCTGGAAAGTGGGGGATGTTTCCAGGGGTAGCGGCCTTCAGAAAACAAAGGCAATCTTATCTTACAGCACAGTGGATGCGAGCAGGACTTCAGTTTGAATGCTGCCAGTTCTGTAGTCTTTCTACTCCCTGCCAAGTTACTTAAACTCCTGAACCCTCCTACTTCCACTCGCTCTTTCTTCCCCCCAACTCCAGGAAAGAATAATTTGAAGTAGAGTTTAAATGTGGCAAAACGTCCGTTTTGTTACATGAATCAACTTTTCTGTGCTCATATCGGTGCTTGTGCAGTGCTCTCCTAGGAGAACTTCAAGAGAAAATGAGAGTCCATTTGTTAACTTCATGACTCTCAAAATCTAGGCAAGGTACCATTCAGTACCGTTTTCTAAAATCTTGAGCCCATGCGTGACCAGTGGGGATTTTAAAATGGAGTTACTTGGAGGTCTTCTGTCTGACACTGTCTCCGAGTCTAATTTGTGAGCATGTGAATGCCTTGGGCAATACTATTACAAATATAATTGATATTTCTGTAAGGTTTTGATTGAAATTTTTTATACTAGTGTTGAATGACTTGAATGGAACGTAGCTTCTAGATTTAAGCACGAATTAGTTCATAGATTGTCTGAATGTGTCTAATGGTAATTTCAGTTCTCTTTTATTAAATGAAGGTGGCAGTACCCAGATGAAATACGTTTAAAAAACGTCCCTGAAGTAGGCCATCCTGTCTGCAAGAGGATCCTTGACATGCTTGGCATTGACTCAGTTACACCAAATGTTGCCAACAAATGTTGCTCATGTCTGCTTGCCAAAGTAAAAAAGCCACTAAATCTCATTATAAGCTATGCTTAACCACGCTTTTTTTCATAAGTCACGCAGCAGAATTGTTTCCTTAATTTTCAAGGCAAAGAAATATTTTGAAATGATCTACTGACAAATATTGGGGATATTTGTTGCTATTTTGTAAGCAGGCCTGTTTCAACTGCATTCATCCACTGCTTTGACTTGAACTTACTACTGTCTGTCACTTTTGTGACAGATCATGGGGTTTTCTTCCGAGTCCTCCCTTTAGGTCTGTTTCCTCTCCTCTTTCGCTCTCTTGCAGCATATGTTCTAACTTCTTCTGGGGGCTTTTTCAGTCTCTTGTAGATCTGGTTTTCAGTTAGTCTTATCCCATCTCTCCATCTGCCTAAAGAAAGGATGATTCTCTTGGCCTGTTTTGGTGTTGCTTTTTGCTAGCCTGTTGGGGGTTTTTTTGCTTATGAATATATTTGCATGCGCCCTTACGTAAAAAGTTATTTTTGTACTTGTCTCTATATTAATGATCGATTACCTATATTTTGTGGGTTATATTAAATAGCTTGTGTGTCTGTATAAGTAAATTAAACTACAGTGCCACTAAAAAGCACCTATCAACTTCTGGTTATTATTGAGCGTGGTTCATTGCAAAAACTAATGAACTCTTTCAACGTAAGAGATCTGTTGAAGGGAAATCGAGCTTTTTCTGGTAGATGTCTCTCAAACAGCTGAGCTGTTAATAACGGGAGCAGAAACCACTTCCCTGATGCAGTTCAGTTGGTTCCTCAACTTGAAACAAGTGGTCATTGATCTGAACAGTGTACCTCGTCTGATACAAAGATTCAGGTATTTGTACTTACTTGAAGGAACTACTGTTAATGTTGGGCCTTTAACAAACCTTCAGATTCATGCAATTAGGCACTGATTTCCACCAGGACGCTAACTTTCTTAAAAAGGTTTATTTAAATTATTAGGTGTAACTTGAGAAGTTCACCGTGTTTCCGCAGGGGTCTGGGTTGCTCGATGTGGTCATAAATAATTTGGGAAATGAGATGAGCAGTGTCTTGTTGATATGAAGCCATTCAGGAAAGTAAGGATTAAGTAATAAAATGGCAGATATAGTTCAATGTCGATAAATCTGATGTAATTCAGAGTAGATAAATGTAGAGTGGTGCGTATAATTTCATATATAAAATGATGGGCTGACCCTTAACACCAAGGAAAGAAATATTGCCACAGAAGTGTCAGTTCCGTAGTGATCAAAAAGCAGATGAAACATTAAGAAGTATTAGAAAGGAAATAGAAGACAAACCAGAACATAATTATGAAACTGTATAAATCAATGGTTATCCCACATCTTGAATTCTGTGTGGTTCTTTCTTGTCATTCATCTCAAAAGATACAAAAGAATTGGGAAAGCCTCAAAGAGCCAGTGTGAATAATCAAAGGTATGGAATAGCTGCTGCACAAGGGTCAGTGAAATAAGCTAGAGCTCAGCCTGGAGAAAGAATACCTAGAAGAAAATGGTAAAAATCTGTAGAATAATGATCAGCATGAGCAGGGTGGATAAGAATAGACTTTGTGATTTCCTCAGCTGCAAGAATGAAGGAGCAACAACTGAAACTAGTAAGATCCGGGTTTAGAACCAAAAAAGAAGGTGCCTTTTTGTGTAACAAATATAGCAGCCCTGTGGAATTCCTTGCCAATGGATGTTGTAGGTACAAGCGGGAAAACTAGATGTGTTTGTAGAAAAGAAATTATTTGAGGGTTGTTATTCCATAGGAATTGCCTGCAACTTAGGAAGACTCTGAGCTTGGAATCGTTGAAGTATTGGGGTGACTGTCATCCCTGTACTTGTTCTTCCCTGCTGGTTGTTGTTGAAGATAAAATGGGATGCTGAGGTAAATGACCCCTCGTTCTGATCCAGTGTTGTCCTATGACTCGGAAATTGTGTAGATAGTAATAAACTTACAATAAAGTTTCAGAGAAGACTCTAGTTTATATGCGTATTATTTGCATTATGGCATTTGTAATCTAATCGAGCTTATAAATCTATTTGTCATAGGCTATCTGTACAAACCTCTGTCCCTGAGACCAGTCTCGGTGTTAAAATTCAGGTCTTCACCATCAACAAGGAAGAACGAGGGTTGTTTTTCCAGGGAGTCAATTTGGCAGTAGTATTTGTACTCTTGACTTCTATTTTGCATTTTTTCTTCCTCTGATGTTGCTCTCTATCTGAGAGAGCAAACCTTCTGGCTGCACTGGAGCACGTCCACGTATTTCACCTTCTCTTGGTCATCTTTTTAACAGTTCTTCACCTCTGGTCAGTATTTGTTGTTAGTTAGTCAAACTGAATATAACTTCAGGTACCCTTTTGTATGGCTAAAAGATTGGCAAGGCCAGTCAGTGTTTATTGTGGTGAAGCTCTGGAGAGCTCTAAGTGCAGTGGTTGCCTTCATGAAAAGATAGCACATCGGTCCCTATTTTCAGTGCCTCATGTAAGTGTTGAGAGGGTAGAAGTTGAGTGCACATTAATGACAACTTTGCCACATCTACGTTCAGTTAAGGCCAGCTAGCTGGAGTCAGTGTATGTAAGAGCATCCGCTACCTTTAGTATGTTCTGAAATAATTGGAGGATAAAGCATCAGCAAACTATAGTTATTCTATTTCTGACAATAAGATCTGCATGGGGATTTAATCGTGTTTTGATTTAGATGCATTAACTTCACCTGCAAGCAGCCTGCCATACCTTTTCTGAGTTCCAGTTTAGAAAATACCTTGAATACTTTACAGGCATCACTGTCTGGGTAGGCTGCCTACTCGGTATGAATGCTTGAAGTATTTTTTCTTAGTGTAATGTGACCCACTTATATTATGTGTCGGTCCTGCCTGAGATGAGACAGGTAGAGGCTGAAGACTTTCCTTTTCATGAGAACTTTATCAAGAGGGAAGTGTTTGGGTAGCACGTATCTGTATGGGCCAGAGTCATTAAAACAAAGGCCCTGCTAAGAGGTGCTGCCGGTTCAACATTTACTGTGGTTTGCATGAGACAAATGTAGAGTTTGTCTCATGAACTCTTGCTTAAAATACTTTTATTATTTTCAACAAATTTCACTTTATCTTACCTTACTTTTCAGCAAAATGTCTGGAACTGATGATTTTTCGGTAAGTAACAGTTTTTCTTTCCTGAAGATCAGCCAGTTGTGTTAACTTCATTCTAAAAGCTGACATACTTTTTCAAGAAGAAGGGGAGCTTACCGTTGAGAGGCGATTTGCTCTGTATTGCAGTTGTGGTGTGTTCCTTTTGGGTAGATGTAGCAATCTGTGGACTAAACATATGAAGCTGCTAGGTGCCTTGTGGGTTCTCTTCTGCTGTGATATTAACTAAGGAGTTGTGCTTTAATAGTGTCAGAATATAGCTATAACGGAACTCTATGGAAATCTTTTCGGATTTGCGCTGAAATTGCTTATTGCTATGTGTGGTAGGTCGCCTTTTATCTTTGGTTTTCTAACTGCAGCATGTCAGAATGCCTCTTCTACCTTAACGATAGAAGCTGCCCCAAAATGAATGTAATCATCTCTGTGCAGCAACAAAGAGCTCTTCTCCTCCCATTTTGGCAACTGAAACGTATACACGTAGTGGGTGAATGTCTGCAACTAGGAAGTCCAGTACGCATTTTACATTCTCACTGGTGCTTTATCTTTTAGTTGGCAGATGCTTTACCAGATCAGTCGCCTGCTAAAACCTCCAAAGTGAGCAGTACAAAACCTGGTCAACAGCCTGGTCAGCCACCGCAGGGTTGGCCAGCTTCGAATCCTTGGAACAACCCAAGCGCTCCCCCTACGGCGCCAACCGGACTGCCACCAAATACGTCCGCTTCCAGTGTGCCATTCGGACCTCCGCCAACAGGAATGTATCCTTCAATGCCCCCTGGACCGCCTGCTCCATTTCCTCCTCCTCCTACTGGACCCTCTTGCCCTCCTCCTGGTGGTCCATATCCACCCCCAACTGTGCCAGGTCCTGTCCCACCAGGGCAATATCCTCCACCAAATATGCCCTTTCCAGAGCTTCCAAGACCTTATGGTGGTCCAACAGAGCCGGCTGCACCTCCTGCTCCCGTTGGGCCATGGGGATCCATGCCCTCTGGAGCATGGGGACCAACAATGGGAGGGCAGTATCCTGCACCCAGCATGCCATATCCACCCCCAGGGCCATATTCCGCTCCTACCCAGACTCCAGGGGCTGCGCCAACAGTACCATGGGGTACGGTCCCACCTGGAACATGGGGACCTTCACCGCCAGGTCCATTTCCTCCACCCACAGGATCATATCCGGCTCCAGGACTATATCCTACGCCCCCTAATCCTTTTCAAGTGCCATCTGGTCCTGCTGGTGCTCCGTCAATGCCTGGTGGTCCCCACGTGAGTATTTACTTTTGGTCTTGAATTACTTTAAAACATGATACTTTTAAGCATGGAAATTCAGTAGCATAAGACCTATTAGTTCAGGTAAGGAACTTCAGCACATCTGTCTTGTTTCTTTAGTTGGTGGAATAATAGCCAACTTCTTAAATACTTGACTAAATATACTAGAACGGTGGAATGATACCAAGTTGGAGTGTGTCTCAGCATCACATTACAGTGGTCTTCCGCTACTGGGAAAGCCTTCTGTAAAAGGCAAAAAAGGGGGGAAAGCCTTTTGATTATTTTCTCTTTCAGAAACTTTCTGTAATCTAGAGGGATTGCTTCTAGGGCACAGAGGGAGGGGATATACCAAATTATAATGATGAATTTGTTTTTAGTTAAGAATTTATGTAACTGTGAATTAACTGCTTTGTGAAACCCTATATTGACCATGAATTATTGTCTCTTGCAGCCTTACCGTTGAATACATTCTGGGCAACAAAATACTGTAGTTTTCCACCTTCATCCACTACTTACAGAGATTTTTACAGTTTTTGTTTCAGTAATGTTTGGGGCTATGAAGAATACTTGCCTCTTGTATGTGCATTTGAGGTATGAAGGAGCAGTTTGCGTAAATTTACCTTGCTCATATGCTGGCATAATTGTTTGGTTTAATAAAGTGAATTGCGAAGAGCAGAAATAAAACTAATATCTGTGGTTCTTATGTTGGCAAGTATTCCTTGGAAAAATGGGAGTTGCCAAGTAAGGATTATAAAGAATGAGGCCCAAGGACTTAAAAAAAAAAAATTAAAAAAAAAATTAATCCTTAAATTTCCATGAATGCTTTAAGTCTTGTTGCCAGACTTGTGCTGGTCACTGAATGGATGGATAGTCATATTTTGTCTATTTTCAGGTTATTCTAAAATGTCAATAAAAAGTGTTTCAAGATTTTAGTCAAGAAATCTAATTTTTGAACATGCTACAGTAATTCAAACTAAAGAGACAGAGCATGTGAACGTGAAGGTTTTCTCAGCATTTTGTATATACTCAAAACAATTACTCGGTCTGGGACTACGGAAGAGAAGATAACACATTTGAAATACTTGGTCTGACTTGTCAGCACACTGTTCGTGTTCACAAACAGGCATTTATGTGCAAATTAAATAACCTGGATGTGCAGTTAACTTTGAATCAACAAATGTGAGTTTTATGCATGCAAATGAGGACATCATTTTGCCAGTTCTCATTCTGTGGTGGTTGGAAGTTTGGCTTGGTCTATGTAAAGAGAAACCGATTCCCACTTAGGTAAGGTACTTCCCTATTTCTAACCTGGGTTCTAGTAATTTAAAATTTGACTTTGCTGCTGGGTTGTGTAAACTCGGCAGACTTTTTCAGAGTCCCTGGAAACTGAACTTGAGCTTAAAAGATCAAAAAACCTAACCTGACAATTCCCTTCCCAGCAGTTTTTGGCATGGCGGTTAGTTCTGTCAGCTACACAGATCCTTATTGCCCCAGTTGAGAACGAGGAGGTCTCGTTGGGGTTCCGCTGCATATTGTAATGGGGAGAAGTCCTCCCTTGTCAGCTGGGAGTCTGCATACCTCACCGAGTAAGTGTAATTTGGGAGTAAGTGAATGTCTAGAAGCCTGTGCACTGCTGTGTAGCTGTCCCCCCCACCTCTGGGGGGACACTGCAGTAAATTTTCACATTCTTGCCATATCTGTGCAAAGAGCATGCAAGGGGTTTGTTGCAATGCTAGTTTAGCATTCCCAAGACACAGAGCCACGTGTCAGTGAGGAGTTCTGGCACTCTTTGTGGTACTTCATAGCCTAGACTTTGACCGTGGACAGTTTGTTTCATCCCCAGCTGGGGATAGCCTAACTTAGCCTCTGTAGGTAGAATTAGGAACAAATTTTGCTTAACGTGTAGCTCATTAGGGAGTCTTTCTATCATGGAAGTGTGAAAGCGAGTTAATTCTCTTCCAGTACCTTATCGTGGCTTCCTGCATGCGTGTGGTGGACTTCTTAAATGGGGTGACCTGGTGGTGATGCTTGTTAGTAGTCTTAGCCTTTATGGCAAAGTCCTGCAATATTTTTGCAGAAGAAAGCAGTCAGCGTAGCTGTGGCTGTTTTAATCTAATATCATGAAAGTTAATAGCAAAGGTATGTGTATTTTTTTGTTTTAGGAAGACCGTACTGGAGCTGAACAAAAATACTTAACTTTTCAGCTTAAAACTTAGTGTCTGTAACCCTAGAAATAGGAACCAAAAAGTGTAAGTCTTCACTAACCTTAAACAAGCCACAGTTGCCCTCCAGACCGACTTGGCTTAGATCTTGGCAAGACTAATTAAAAATTAACATGAGAGAGCATTGACTACATTTGCTCAAGTGCTTTTTGGATACCTGCAGCCTTAGATTATAAATCAATGATGTGATGAAAAGGAAAAAAAAAAAACCACAACAAAACCCATTTTATTCCAAATGAAAGGCTCATGCAGTAGCAGCGCTCCAGTTTGAAATTACACTGGCCGTATGTCTTTGCAGGGAATGGGAAGAGGTAGGAAAGGATAAAGCAAACGTAGCAAGTAATGGTTTTTCGGAAAGGGGATTTGTAAAAGTAACTAGACTTCTAGGTTCTTCCTGAAATAGGCAGGATTTATTACTGGAACATTTAGGCTAAAATTCAGTATATATGGGATGTTTTTCAATGTATATTCGTATTTCTTGAGGTCATGAAAACTGTTTCATAACCCCTTTGTTTTTGTGAGCAAAGTTCTTTGCATAGCAGTGAAAAGGGTATACCTGTTAATCTATTGTGTAAAAACTCAAGTTGTCACTATATACCGTGTAGTAACTTTATCACATGTTACGTCAAGTGTGAGCAACTGCTGGCCTGAAGCTTTTGCAATGGAATTTGTACATTTCTATGCATCATTTGAGTTAAATTGCTGAGAAGTTCGTTTTGACTTGTGCTTTGAGATTGACATACTGCATTTGTTTACAATATGAAATATAAGCAATCACATCTTCAAAGTATAGATTATCACCTGCTGCTGTATTTTCTTTAGATGAAACAAATATTGCTGTATGATAGTGAGGAGCTATAAATACAGGATTTGATATTTTTTTGAAAATGCTGTCACTTTTGTATAAGATTAGACATTAAACGTATTTTCAAGACTGTCGTGTTTACTGTTTTTCAATTACTGCTTTGGACATGCCTGTGTAGACTTGCCTTGAATGAATAGTGAAAATAGGACATCCTTGATTTGCAAAGACTGAATATAAAATCAGAATTACTTGACTTCTGTGAGTGTTTTTCCTCTTCCTTTTGTGATGTTTGCAGCCTGTGCATAAGGCATATTAAATGTGGATGCGCCCATTGCTATAGCGTAGCATGTCAGCCTCGGGTATTGCCTGTTCACAAACTGCCTTGTTAATGCAGGAAAAAAAGATCTGATCTTGTTCTAGATGATGAATGGGACTTATTTTTTTTTTTTTACCTATGAAGAGCACGGTGTATGTTTTTCCTGGCTCTGAACAATTCCTGTGCTAGATTGACACATGTGGATGTGGTAAGTGACCCACAAGCCAGTGTTTTTATATGCTTATCGGGAGTTTGGTGGGATAGGGTGGATAACTGCGAGAAAATTCCGGGGCTTGGCAGCAGTGTGAACTACAAACTTCGGGCATTACTCATCACTACCTTTACGTTCTTCCTATATAGTGGCTTGCAGAATAGTTCACGCTGAGCTGGCTAATGCTGCTGCCTTTGTTCACACCTTCACCCTTTCAGGAAGGTAGAAGTGGTAGCAGTGAGCAGTAAAGAGTGGAAACAAAAATCTTTATCCACTTTAAGTGTTAGAAAACAAGCTCTTCTTAGACTATGCACCAAATGTAGTCCTTGCATCTGTTAACAGAACAATACAATGTGTGGCCAATGCTTTATCTTAACAGTGTTCAGCTGTGGGATTGTCCGCTCCTCTGAATTCCTCAAATGAATTTCCTTGCAACTGTTTTGCGTCGGTACAGATGAAGACGTGGGTATGCTGATCCAATTATGTTAATTGCCGACTGCCCTGCAGATCCAAAAAATTTCAGTCGAATTTTGGGGGGGGGGATCTGACAAGTGATGCTTATCTACATAATTCTTAGGGGAGGAGTTAGTTTTGAAAAACTATTCCAGGGGTCTTGCAAAGCGGTGAGTATGTGCATGGTTAGCTCCATGACGTAGGATGCGTTAGTTGTGGTCTGCTCTTGTGAAGGCAGACGTCTAAACTCTCTCCAGGCAAGTTCAGACCGATTTCTGTGCGCAGGCATTGATTCACTGACCAGCCTGTTTAAAAGTGCCTCCACGCTCTCCAAAGGGTGGGATGTTGATAGGAAGATTGACCTTAGCCTCTGTGTGGTAGGAGTCCTTAGGCATCTTAAGTAAGGACAAAACTTTTCATACATATTTTTCTTAATAGTGGCTTTCCTGAAGTTCAGCACAAAATTCCGATTATTAGAATGCAGTGCTATACACTTGAAACAGCTGTTATTCACCAGGCACATAATAGATTAGTATGTTAAGTGTCAGCCTGCAAATCAAGAAACGCAAGTTTCAACTTTAATATGAGCTTCTACTCAACTAGTACATGCTGCAAGTTTAACTGTCACCGCGTTACACAATGTAGTGTGCTTACCCCTGAGACGTCTGGAACGGACTTGGATCCAGACGTGCTCTGTGGGTGGATGTAGGTATTTTGTGACGTTGAGAGCCCGGCGCTCAGCGCTCGCTGTCTGGGTGCCACCCGGGACTCACCGGTACCGGGGTGCGTCTGCTGCTGCAGAGGTTGCGGTACTAAAGGTCGCGGTCTGAAGAGGGATAAGGGCTGGATAGACATGACCCTCGCGTACTTCGCCTCGTATTGACCTGGTTGTCCCAAATACGTTTCCAGGGTAGTTGTAGTGGGAGGATCAACTGTAACTTTTCCTCTGCTCTCACAGTTCAGTGGAATTTGAGTTAATTTAATCTAAAAATGTGCCCGTGTGCACACACCCATTAAGCTGATAACAGCAAGGTAAAAATTTTTTTTTTTCTTTTGGTCATCTTGCCTGCAGAATCTCTCAGCTATGTGGGAAATCCAGCGTTAAAAGCTGTGTGCACCAAGGCAGTACGCTGTTGAAAGAAGCTGGTACTTTTGTCTCAGAGATCTGCTGATGTTCAAGTTGACCCATGTGATGGTGAAGGCAGAGGAATGGGGACTTTGTATCCCCTGTGCAGCAGATCAGAGGTTGTGGTAAAGTTACAAGTTACACCTAGATGAGTAAAAAGGGATAGTCAATGTAATCGTACAAGCACTTCAGTAGTATCACTTTCCAAAGGTTACCCTCCCTGTTAAATGAGAGATGGAGAGATAAAATAGCAGTATGTGTGTTTCTGGCCTCTTGCCAGCTTTCTCATGGCCCTCAGCAGGGAAGGGCCGTGCCGAGAAGTCAGTTGGCATACGGTTGGGTTTAACTTCAGGTCCTGGTTCTGTTGTCTGCACAAGATCTCACCTGCTTTTGCAGATTCTTGTTCTCGTGCTGACCAGGGGAAGGAATTCTTGCAGCACTTAACCCTTAAACTCTTGCATCAAGCTGTGCTGTCAGTCACCGAATATATTTCACTTGGCAGTAACAATGGCTTAATACACATCTCCCTATCTCTTCCCCCCTCTGCCACCACCCCGGTCATCTTTAAACCAGATAACTTGTCTAATATAACCCCACGTACGTCCCACAAAGTGTTCTGCTGAATGAGGCAGAGCAAAAAGCCGCTGCGGAGAGCAGTGTAAATGGGACCGTGGCCTTGGCGAGGAGACGCTTGTATTGGGCTGTTTGCGAGTCGGAGGAAGCTCATGGAGAAGAGGAGCTGGAGCGCATGTCCACCGTAAGCATTTCGTTTCATGCTCTGCAGGGGAACTCATTTCTCTGAGCTAGAGAGGGATCCTAGGGAGGATGAGCTATT